TCTCGCATATTAATTGAGTAACCAATGGAATTCAAGGAAAATTACCAGGTTGTTAAACGCAACAAATGCACTCTTTACCCCATTATGTTGAATTGGAATTAACAACACGTACTCCACATTCATTCACAACCAATTACAGTTAGTTTTTTTCATTTCCATTCTATTCTTTATTCCTTTCATATTTTTTTCTCTAGCTTTATCACTTCCTATCTCTGTGTGTAATCAGCACCGTCTAAGCGGCAAATTGTTCTCACTTTCTCATCGCTCATCTCATTAGAACATCAGATACCATAACACGCAATAACATTGATGTACTGGGTCTACGGTACCTCATATGGTGCTTGCCCCCAGCGATCTTTCAATTATGCACTTTCAATCGTTCATTTGTTGTTGACGAAATTTTACAACTGTTAACAAATGAGGGAGATGCATGCATTATACATTTCTACAATGATGGGAACAAAAAACATGAAAAAATGATTAATTTGCATAAAAAATCACGCGAATCGTCTATTTCTACCGATTTTTATGTCAGAAAAACTTTTATTGAGTGAAGAATAATTATTTCCGACTCTCATCAATATTTTGTGACTAGTAAATCAACTAGACTTTCTAGTATTCATACTTCCGAGTTTCACTGATTTCTTAATGAATCGATTTCGGTAAAAAAAAAACTAATAAATTCCGCATTGAATAAAAAAACACAACAATTTGAGAAATCAGAGTGTAATGAATGGCCAGCACGTGCGAGGCATTGAATTTCCACAATACATGACTCACCAATGTAGTGGAGTTGTCGCGTGAAACGCACCCATTGCACTGGTCACCAATCGATAATCGCCACTCCAGGTGACACATAATTACAATGATTCTCTTCTGCCGGTGACATCCCCCTCTTCAGCTTTGCCTTTCATCGTGAGCGCGCCAAGTTGAATAAAAAAAAATCTCGGGAGGCATAACAAGCCCCTTACACTTGAAATATTCATACACGTAATGAAAGGACTGACGTAATGACAAGAATGAAGCGATCGAAGTTGAAGAGAGAAGGACACTATATTCGCTGTTCGAGTGGATTCTCTCGGTTGCCCTCAAGGTGTAACCGGGGAATTGCATTTCAAGTCGACCCACATACTGATGATGCTCTCACATCAATCGTCAGCACAGTACCAAAATTATTGCTGAGTCATGCATGCTTTTCTGAAATTTTTCACTTGCCAGAAGGGACTTCATGAGCTTGGCAAGTGAATAAATTAAACAGGATTATTTACATTGGATAAAAAAAATGACTTGTTGAATATTTGTGATAATTCTTCATCATGTTTCATGTGCAAAAATCGGCAAACATAAAATATTTCCTGTAGCACACTATGATTGCCCTTTTTTCCTGCGCTTGAAGGGCTTAACCAACAATGTAGCGGATTACCAGCGTTGAAAGCGCATTCAAGGCCACTGGCTCTATCCAAACGGAGTACTTTCCTCATTTTTTGCGAGAACGGAACGTGCAGACGTCTCGGTCTCGATGTAAAACACCGAATCACATAAAAACCACCGCATCCGACCTTCATCCACGTGTCCATCTTACCCAACACCCCAAAAGCCGAAGAAAAAAAACATCATTCATGCAAATTCCTTATCAAGATATCGTAAATAAAGATGACTCGGGAGATTAAAATACTTGTATACGAGTGAGACTGTCCAATTAGTCGGTTCTGTCGTGTGGAGAAACAGTCCCTGTTCTGCATTATAAAGGAAGATGTTGTACGAAAGAGGAAATAACTTGGGCAATTTCTGGTGAAAAAATATATGCCAAGACAAAGGGGAAACAGTGGCAACGAGTTATCCGAGAGCTCAGTTTTGCTCAAGACACGCGTGTATGGAAGGAAAGGTTTCGTTAATTGAGCTCCACTAGGCCATTATCCCCCAGTGTGGTAGCACCCGAGGATCCGTTACGCAATTTTGGGATTTCATGCTTTCATTTTTTTGCATTTGGTGAATTGAGGTGGAATGGGAACTCAGGGACTCAGATTGGCTTTTTAGGAATTTTATGCAAATATTGCCATTTTTCAATCAATTAGTTCAATTTGTATGAGTATATGGATAAATTAATGTTTTCGTAAATGGATGGAAATGAATACGGATAGGAAATATTCAATGCGAAGTTTCACAATGGAAGAATCCTCTATACAATCTTTGATTCAATGAAACCCGAGATAATGAAAAAAAAAGTAATTTTGCGTTTCATCACAGCACGGCGGGTATATTATACCACTAATGAATAGGATATAACTGGGTTATTATTCACCTCTTTTCTCTCCTCCCCGGTCTGCAAACGAATAATCATCAATTCGCACGGCATGATGCACTGGCTATTCATGGGTGTCCATGAATAGTTGAGTGTTCCAAGCATTAACGATATTTAAATATATTTTCAATTGCGAAATAATATTTTTTGAAGTTGCTGCGAAATTGCAATTCAAACTTCGACATTTCGACATTTTTTTTTTTTCGATTGGCATTGGATATCCCCGGAGTGAATGTAACTCCGATAAATCTTGTGCTTCAGATTTACTCAGTCTCAAATACGTAAATACATGAAAAATTACGAAATTACTGGGGGATTTCGTTATGCCGCAAATACGAGATCGATGATTTGGTTGATGAGCAGGGAGAAGAATTAGATAAAATCCCGAATGTGTAAACACTTCCAATAGCTGCACCTGAAAGTTAAAAGTCGTGATCTTTTTGATCACGAGCCGCAATGTATTCTCATCATTCCTCATCATTATCACACGGGAGCACTCATTGTTCTATGCTAATGTGCCGATTGTTCTCGGTAGGCTTTCATTTTTACACTTTCCCAAAGCATAAACTTGTTTATTAATCACAATCACTCATTCATTCATTCCGTATTTTTTTGAAGAAATAGTTCTCGCGTCACGTAGAGAAGAAAATGATGCATTGCGCAATGCCATCTACACCTTGATACATCCAGCCAGCAATAATAATCCCTTAAATCAATTAGTCCACGGAATGAAGCAACCGGAGACGCGATCGAGGCACGACGTCTAAGAAAAACTGATGGAGTGCAGATATTAATTATCTGGGGCAGGCCGAAGATACCCTATTTCTCATACACAATGGCAAATAACCCTCTACTTATGTATTTCATCATCGAGAAAAAATCCGGCCGGAGGATCTAAATGATAGGAAAACTCAAGGCGGATCACTAATATCATTCAAGGGCTGTCTCGACCCGCAACAGTCTGAGAGTTTTCCTGATGATTTGCTTTTCCGTTAAAATCATTTTCTAACATTTGTAGTCAAACATCACAAGATTTTCAGCGACATAAGATGCAAATTTAAATGACATTCAGAATTTTTTTATATTTTGTTATTTTTACTTTTCTCTCAAATGGATCCATTGAATTCAGTCTAGGCTCATCACGAAGAGGAAAGAATTGTGTTAAAAAAATATCCCATTTAATTAGAGACTCAACGAGTTGGGATTTAAGGAAAAGTACCAAGTATCCGTTCTGCCCCATTAGCCCCTACACAAGAGTGTTGTATTACATCGAAGAGATGGGATTACTGATGCTTGACTTTCGCTTTTTCCATTTGCCTTCTCCCGTTTGTAGCTATTATATCCCATGTTAAAATCTTACTCCATCAAAGTACAACGGGTTGAGTTGAAAATAAAGACGAAAACGGAAGGAATTGTTATCCTTTGGCTGCAATTATCAGACAATAGAGTTTGAAGAAAACCGCAGCGTAGACGATCATTCAGGAGTTAAATTGGTCAATTCGATTTTATTTTCGATTTTATTATACACCGTAGGTGACGTAAAAGGGTATCAGCGAGACCAATGATCCGTGAAAAAAGACATAACGCGGTGACAAAAGATTGTAACATTCCGGGAGTTGTGAGAGATGATCTAAGCCGAGGAATTCTTTCGATGTAAATGGATGAAGCTCTGATGATGGACGTGACAGCGTCATTGTTATTGGATTCTGGGACCAATTAATATGCCATGCTGCGATGATGTATCGTTGGATACAAATCTGGGCCAAATATTTATTATTATTACCAGTGGTGCACACGTCACTCGGCGAATATTTCAATTGTTCTGCGGTTTTGCGCTATTTTCATGGGCATGTGGATCAGTTTCACTCTTGTAGATGTCTCGAGCTGCGGCTTTCGTTGATGGCATAGTTGAACTGTGGAAGGATGATGATTTTATCATTCCATTAATTGAAATCCGCAACAAAGTTTCAATACTCAGTACTGTACAGGAAAAAAAATTAGATATTCTTTCTATTGTTCTTCTCCAACAACATCAATTTTTCATTATTCGTTTTGAAAGAGGATATTTTCACACTTTAGATGTGTATTTTGTCATGAAAACGAATGCATAATTTTCCGCTCCAAATTGACTTCTCCTTGAAATAAGAAGCATCGATAATTCATCAGCCACAGGATGTTTTAAAAACCTCTTTCACATCTTTTATCCTCAACTTAATGTAGAAAGCAAGGCTGATGACCATTCCTCGCTGGAATAATGGAACAAAGAATTGTAGCAAAACTGCAGCAAGAGTAAATCAACTAAAAAAAGAGCCGTCACCCAAGGTCAGTCGCATCTTCATCACGGGTCCTACGTAAAACCCACCACTCACTCAATTTACGATACAAATCTCCCAAGCATTCTACTGTTTGATCCTCCCCACTCCGATAAATAATGCCTCCTTCTTCTTCACTCACCTGAGTACATCCTCCTTTGCACCTCCTCAAGACTTTCTCCAAAACGACGGTCAACTATATAAGACTGAATCCACGGTTGTTTGAAGCACGTTAGAGCTAATCGTGGATCTGCAACGCGTGTTTCAGCGGACCTAGCCATCTGGTCATTTCAGTTTTAATTTCGAGTCGAAGTTGTGAGTTCTTCGACTCTGTTTCAATTGCGCGAGTTTTTGTGGAAAATTATTGGGAAGAAATCAGTGCCAATCATGAGATTCATGGAAAGATGGGCACACTTGGCTGTTGCTGTTCTTGCGACCTCACTTGTTGTGCCTTGCTACGCTGAACGTAAGTACAATGTTAATTTTAATGAGTCTTGGATGAGAGAAATTTCTTGTTTTGCATTAACGATTGCGACGTAGATTGTGTGGAAAGGAAAAGTGCATTTGGCAAATTAGCTAATTCAAGCCGGCTTGTTTCTCCCAAGACACTTGCGGATTTTTTTTTTTCAACCTTTTGGACTGTTCAATTCTCCATTCATTCAATTATCCTGTTATTTTCAAGAATTTTGTGTGATTGTCAGTATGATTCACACGGCGGAAAAATACAATAAAAATTACTGTGGATCACAAAATTCACGCGCCTGCATTGAAAATTTTGCAGCAAAGTCCTTGTAGCGTGCGTCCAAAATTCTGATTCTGGCCCAGTAATTTTGTAGTTTTTTGGTATTATTTTATGCAGTGGACATGACTTTTTTTTAACTGTAAATAATTGAACTTGATGACAAGACATAATCCACATTTCATTTATCCCTAATAACGCGACCTTTCTAATCAATTCACCGTCTAAAAAACTTGCATGCCCCATAATAAATGAGTAAAGGGTAATTGATAGCACGAGAAATTATGATTATTACAGTGTACAAGCCAGGTTATAATGAATTCATGAAACTAGTCGAGTGAGAAAAGTTGGAAAGTCACGGTCAAGGTGTTAACATTACTCGGGATGATTCTACAATAAATAGCAGCTTCCTTTAAGCGGTAAAAGGTCAGGTGAAGTTCAACGATCCGTTGCTTCCTACTACTTGTCGAGACACTCGCTGTTTATTCCGCAAGGCTTACAAGAGAAACACATGACCTCGAGTAATGTAAAGCCATTTATGCGTACAAATTTATCGGTAACCAGAAATAATCTGTAATGAAAATACGGAGAGAAAATATGATGATATTCGGATTTACAACTGTCAGAATTTTCATAATTCAAACATTTTCCCTTTTTTCAACTTTGTTCACACTTTCACGGAACTCACACAGAGCGAGTTATTTTCACAGATCAATTTTCACTGTTGAAAGACTTGACAAGACCAAAAGGTTGCAAGCGAAGAGTGCTACTCTCATGTTGAAGATATTTTTACCCATTGAGAGGGCAGACTTACGTGATAGGAGTATTGGCGAGTTTGTCTATAGCAACAGGTGAAAGTTTTAGAAATGAAAATCCTTACGTTGATGATTCTTCCAGCACCAGTCAGCTACTTGCCACCATCAACGAGTTATGGAACTCCAAATCTAGGAGGAGGTGGTGGTGGTGGTGGTGGTGGATTTGGTGGAGGTGCTCCCTCTTCTTCATACGGTGCACCTTCCGTGTCCTACGGAGCCCCATCGGGAGGGGGTAGCTTTGGCGGTGGTGGTTTCGGAGGTGGTCGTCCATCATCTAGTTATGGAGCTCCCAGCTCTGGAGGATTCTCAGGTAAACCTCCAGATTCATCTTCACTGCGGCAACTTCAATGAACAAAGGATTGAATTAATAATGCGCCTCTCTTAGGTGGGTCCGGAGGTGGTAGCTACTCAGCCCCATCTTCCAGCTACGGTGCCCCCTCGTCCGGAGGATTCGGAGGTGGTTTCGGTGGAGGCGCTCCATCTTCGAGCTATGGCGCTCCCTCCAGGCCATCATCCAACTACGGGGCTCCCTCGTCCGGGGGATCCGGTGGATTCGGAGGTGATTGAGCAGTTTATCAAGTTGACGAGCTAGAGGCTTATTTTCAAACCTTTGGTTTGTTTCAGGCGGTTTTGGCGGTGGGGCTTCCAGACCGTCATCTAACTATGGGGCTCCCTCATCCGGTGGATTCGGAGGTACTAGCCAATCTCTGTTCTCTCTACTGTCACGACACACGTGAATCAGTTGTTCATTCATGCTCTACTTATTTTTCCAGGTGGATTCGGTGGTGGCGTTTCAAGACCCTCGTCCAACTATGGTGCTCCCTCGTCCGGTGGATTCGGAGGTAACAGGAGCAATCCGTTTTTCGGTCTCACGCCAGATACATGAATGAATGAATGAATGAATTGTTTATTAATAATTCAATGTTCCTTTCAGGTGGTTTCGGCGGTGGTGCCTCCAGGCCCTCATCCAGCTACGGTGCTCCTTCATCCGGTGGATCCGGAGGATTCGGAGGTAAGCCACTAATAATTCACACCAACGGAGATATACTTCAACCCTAGATGCTCATAACTTATTCTACCTGTTAGGTGGTTTTGGTGGCGGCGCCTCAAGTCCCTCCTCCAGCTACGGAGCTCCCTCATCCGGCGGATACAGTGGTAAAAACTTATTCATTTAGTCAGAAAAATATATGTAAAATGGGTTGAATTAATAATTGGGGATTTTCAGGGGGATTCGGAGGTGGTGCCCCGTCGCAAAGCTATGGTGCGCCGTCCAGGCCATCCCAGAACTACGGAGCACCGTCATCGGGTGGATTTGGTGGTGGTTACAGTGGCGGGTAAGCCCTCTTCAATTATTCCATTTATTTATCGGTAATAATTCATGTGTTTATGTTGGTAATTGATATTTTATTTCGCGAAATAAGATGAATTGAGCATTATATAATTTATTTTAATTATTTATTTGAATATTCCAAATTTTATATTCCTCAAATATTAACGGGAGAAACTATTATGTGAATTGATAAATAAATATAATTAGCTCAATGCTACTAAATACAATTAAATTGCTAAATTCAAAAAGAGTAATGAGTAAACAGTTGAGTAAGGTGCCAAGTGACTCGCCGGAATCACTGTCCTGATCAACAATTGACGCGGGACATTCAAAGGACAATTGAACCATTACATATCTTCACAAAGTCTATTCATACTCAGGCGTGACCTCGTCCATTTACTGCACAACGCGATTGATCATTCATGCATAACTAGGCCTGTAATAGCGTGACAAATGCAGTGTGACCTTCATTGTCAACATTGCTGTGAAAATAATTATCCCATTAACATTGTTTTTTTTGCAGAAGTAGCGGTGGATTCGGCGGATCCTCAGGATCCTCTTACAACGCTCCATCTGCGTCTTACGGTGCTCCGTCGAGCGGTGGTGGACAGAGCTATGCCGGTAACGGTGGCTATCAGTACTAATATCCCGGAACGATCGTGCAGTGAAGCGAGCGATACTGACCTCGACCTCTCTTCACTCGATATCCACATGAAAAAGCACGTGGTCGCATGTTTTTCAATAATTTTTTACCTTCTTCTCTCATCCTCCTGAGAGCCCTCGCAACGGAAGATCCACCGAGTGTTCATTGATGAATGAAGAAATTGGGGAACTGTAGGGGAGAAAAACGGTTGTCAATGCTCGGGTTGTATTCTTCAACTCGCAAAAGAATTAATCCGAGGCATAACATCGGAATTCTTCGGAGACCTATTTCTATATGAGAAAGGAAAAACTGGATAACGGAATGAATATCGAAGCAGGCGTTCTGTTCTCCGACGAGAGAGAAGATCTATTGCCGAATGGTTGCAGATATGCCTGTAATTTATTTATTTTGTAAAGATGCTTTTTTGTACTAATAAAAATGCTGACCGCTGAAACAAATGTTGCAAGGTTCTCTGATGCCTTTTCATGAGATTTTTCGAGAAAAGCATGTCGCTATACTGCTCCACGACGTTGAAGGGATAGAGGGAAAAGGGGGAGGAAAGATAGGTTTTGTCTCTCGCAGATAAGGCTGCTCGGCCGGCGCTGACGGTCGGTCGATTTATCGATTAGTCTACCTCGGATACCGGGGACGCATGAATAAGTGAGAGGTCTTTTCTGTATCCGCTATCCAGCTAAAGTACTAATACATTGATGGCATATTTCAAGTCAAATTCTGGAGCGAATCGGGCATTTTTGAAGGACTCAACGAGAATCACAAGTCAGATCGCTTATTTTTTTATACACCCTTTATTCGTAACATTTACAATCAACGGATTCTCCTCTCGTTCAATTATACATATTAATATACACATATATCGTACTTTAGGTTTTGTCTTATAGTTCTTTACATTACAGCATTTCAATTGTAACATTTAGGATACATGACATTATTTCGAGCCCCTCGATCAACGCTTACTCTATCCTCCTGTCTTTTTGTGTTTCAATTTCTATTTCGAACTAAATAATAATTAGCGAGTAATTGTCTTCGGGGCTCGCTACCACCACCCAGCGGGTATTCGAAAGCAGTTTCCATCTTCAATGTTATTCATCAAATACTTTTTCTTTTATTATTTTTATTTTCGTTATTCGGCGGAGGCAGCCCTTAGTCTCGTTGCTAGACAGGGTGGGAGATGAAATGAAATAATGAAACAATATCCCACCCTTGTAGTGTGCCTCTCTTTCAACATGTTTACATTTAATATTTATCCGGTATATTCATTGGAGCACACTCGTGATATGTTAAATTACTTTTAATCACAATTTTGTGATATTTGATATGTATAGATTATTCTGCTCTCAAGTAATACAGCACCATGATAGTTTCATTATAATCTCCCTTCAATCTCATCATCTTTCTCTCTATTGTCGCGCGTTAAAACACGATTCACGTCCTAAGCAGTGAAAGGACGAAATATCACCATTGTTATTTTCAAATCTTTTGATTAAAAATAATTAATCTCATGAAGTGACTGCACGGAGACAATGCGAAATATCTGTCAAGGCCATGTATATTCAAATAATTGGTAACATAATTAGGGTTAATTGAACTGAGGACTATGGTTTTTGATATTCAGAGGGTAATGGATAGTTTACAATGATCAAGATTCACAATCAGCAGTGAAAGTATTGCACAAAATAATCATGACTGCGATCAACATATTAAAATCATATAGACGGCAGATCCCCCCCCCCCTACAATTCTCTCGCAGTAGTTTCACTTTGTCTCCAGTTAACACTTCTCTATAATTACAAATGAGCGCGCGATATAATAATACTTCCGGCTCTAGCTGTTACCCTTGCACAGATACTATCGATAATTCCTCCCACGCTTGTATTTCTTCTCTCAATTATCAAAAACTCCGCCATAGCACATTTCCTTAAGGCTAAATTCCCAATATATTTCCAACAATCAATTCGAACAAATCTCTTTGACTTTGAAAAAACAGTCATGGAGTTATTGAAAATCGAATGAAAAAAATTATCATCCCTAGGTGAATAAACTGTCAACAGTTATAGCAAATGCTTTCAAGTCGTTTCTGAAAATTCTAAAAAAAGAATAAAAACACATCGTAACAGTACTACATTATTCTTTTGTCAAAGTGACACAATGATCAAACTCAAAGTAACAACAAGGATGGAGGTAACAACGATGACATTTTCTTAATTAGAATCTATAATTGATTATTAATAAATACCAATAGCCTATCCTATATGCATGTACGTCAGGTAGTCTTTTTCGTGGATATGTTCACAGTAATGCATTTATGCATATTAAGGTACACGTACACGTGGCCAAACTGAAGCCAGTCAGTCAGCCGCTTTTTTTCTAACCGCACACCGTTATATTTATTATTATCGCTCATTGCTCCTAGAATCACATATTCCCACGATATACTCTATGATCATAGATAATGAATATTTATTCATTTATAACTCAAATATTTGATATACTATATCATAAATACAACCGATCCTCACGTCAATCGATTCATCCATCGGATGGCACTGTAAACCGCCATTTGCAATATCGATTTCACGATGCAGAACCGCTCTGTATCTCTCTCTACTTTGTCCAAAAAACGCGCATCAGAACCATAAGGGAACTGCGAAGCAGGGTCTCAGGAGAACTCTTTTAGAGGGAAGAACATTTTTCAATTTGCCAGTACAAAAGCTTTCCATAGTATAATCTAACTAACACTCGCGCGTTTTCTTAACAACATTATATAATATATGTTTCTATACCTTTTGAATCGTGGCTAAACTAATTCAACTGGTCAACCCCCTAACTTTCTTTGTAATACTGAGCGCTCATTCATCATGAAATCAATAATGGCGTAGCTCCGGCATTCACTCTGCAAAAGGCCACCGGAGAATTGTTGAGGATCGAATGAATCAATTTCCATCGGATTCCATATATAATTAATTCTTCTCAAGCTTGATTGGTAGACTCTAAATATGTACAATATTCTTTACTGTGTGTATGTGTACAATATATATCTCAAAAAATAAAACAAGGAGATCACTAGGCCTAATTGGTAGCGCGGTGTATCCTAATTTTGCTGAAACTGAGTGAGAGAGTCACCAACAAGACCGAAGATGAACAATACCCAGTGAAGTTGATCGACCAACAGTCACGAGTAATTGCCATGATGAGCGGAGGGAGCCATGACCGCACGGCTCAAAGAATAAGAAGCCTTGATTTCAGAGCGTTGAGCCGTTCGATTCTGACTCCCCGTGGAGTCCCTCAACATCAGTTGGAAAATATCGTCGAAAATCATCAACAAAACGACCTACATCAACAAGTCTATGGTAACGTTGGTCAGTAACAGAACGCAATTGTCGAAAACTATAGGCATATGAGTGTGAGAAATGTAGAAAAATAAAAATAAAGGATCTATACTAATTGTAGAATATATGAGATAACAACCGCGCTACCGCACTTATTGTTGGTCACAGCTTGTGATCACGGAACCGGATGTACTTTAAAAGGCAGTGCTGTTCTGTGACTGCCGTGCAGAAGCACTGCCAACTGGTCCAGGATGACTACCCATGCCACCCCCACCGCCAGCAATTAATCCTGCACTAGCAGTGACAGCCTGCACCCCATCGCAACCTGGTTCCATGTCATAGTCCGGCTCGAGCGCTGGATTAACTCGTCCGTTAGACTCGTCCTTACTACCATAGAGCCTTCCAGCTCCAGCAGCAAGAACGGCCATCTGTTCGCCTTCAGCCGGATCCGGCCCAACGCGCTCAACATCCTCAGGTATATTGACAACACACCTGAAGATATCGTAGCCTGGTGCCCATCTACCGGTCATAAAGGCCACCTGAGTCACATGAGACACCCCGATAAGTGTTACGAGTGATATCAACATTGCCATCGTTCTAAATGGAAACATCTGAACTTGTGTCGTCTCATCATAACCCGGAAAGTGTATTAATGCAGGAAGACCTATCACTGCTTCGCCACCACTTAATCTAACAATCATTGCTATCAAGTATGCCGCTAAACTGCCGTACGTATTGCAGTAATCTTTGAAGTGTACCACCATCAGCAGCTGTGGAAACAGTATGACGTAGACAAGATCCGAGCACATTGACCAAAGCCCATAGATTGATGGTATCGTCAGGGCCATCACTGTACTCAGGATACCCACCACACCTATACCCACCCGCATCACCCAAATAATCTCCATCTCCGAGGCCTGTTTACATCAATCAATCAATTCGTTGAGTAATTCAAGTGCAACTTGGACATTCACTTGGCAAAGCTCCTTGAGCCGAAAGTAACATCACTTACCCTCTGTCTGAATATGAGCTTGTAAACATTCCTCGCGAACATGGAACTGGCTGACAAAATACTACTGTCGGCCGATGACATGACAGCTGCTGATACAGCACCAAGACCAAAAAATGAAACGAAATCTGGTGTCAAGTACTGCAACACCATTGGCAGGATCATACTCGTTTGGGCTTCCTCGAGCGGCCATGGGCCTTGATAGTCTGTCCTATTCCAAGCTGTAACACACACGGATGGAATTTCATTCATCGAGGGGTGAGTTACGTTGGAAGAAAGAAAAAAAAACACAAGCCCGAGGGATGTAACATCGATACTTTGGCCAACAACACTACATCAAATACCAATACAAGTTCTCGAATTAGTTACGGCAACGTTGGTATATTTACGTTTGCCCGAGTCGTATTACAACACCACCGTTATTCCCCTTGGAAGCATGGAAAGCCACATGTTCAGAATCTCACGGTATTGTATTCTCGTGGTGGGGTCACCCTTGTCTCGCTCATCCCCCCCTTCCCCCCCCCCTCCCGAAACTCTCCCTTTGAATGCTGTAAATACCACCAGCGGGAGCATCCCGCCCGTTTCTCTTTCCAAACTAAATGTCAAGTAGCCCATAGCTAAAGAAGAGGGGGAGGGAGTGGGTGGTAATAGTGGGAGATGGACGCTCACCTCCGGACTGCTTTTTCATTGTAGGGTCGAGGGGGTCTAATTCAATCCCCCAAGGCTCCTCGAATGAAGAGACACCCCATCCCATTTGAAACCGGTGAATAATAACTCATAAATGCCCAAATTTTCCTCTAAAGGAAAATTATTCATGGAATATAAAGATTGAGAGTCAAGCGAAAGGTCACAGTGCTAGTGCAGCTTTGTCTGGATTAATTGTATCAAATATTCATGAAGAATTGTACACGTACCAGTTCCTTTGGCGATAGCTCCGATGAGGACTGGTGGTATTGCCATGAGGATACATCCAACTGCTGCGACGTAACTCAGCAATTGTGCCCTGCCGGCTGTCTTTGATGAGAGTACACGCTGGAAGTACACCTGCCACGGTATCCCTCCAAAGATGAGGAGAAGTCCGTAGTCGAGATAATACCACCACTCGGTGGATTTCACATGGCCAATCCAGTCTACCTCGAGGGAGCTCAATGGCTGGACCAATGGATTCATCCAGGCAAAGGGAATACACATCCACTGTGGAGCAGAGGCCATCAGTAGATTGTCATTAGCAATTGCAATGTCTTTAGAAATCCTCATCACTTAGGTGATTGGGGTGCATTGGACGTCACGACAGCCATTCGGAGAATGTGAAACAAATGGGGGGGGGGAGACGAAATTGAGGGACTTGTAGGGTTTTCCATTTCTCCGACCGAAGGGGAGAAAATTGTGTAGCACTGTCACGACTTCACGGATTATTAGATTATAATTTCTGGCACGTGTCTCAGGAATTGACAAGGATTCCTTGGGAATAACTCTGAATGGGATGATTGAAATCTTGAGAAATCTGAGGGGATAATCCAAACTACTGGTAATTACTTACGAGTCCTACGAAGATGCAAAAGAGCTGGATGACATCGGTGTAAGCTACGGAGTAGAGGCCGCCAAAGAGCGTATAGATGACAGCGATGAAGGCGCTAAACATAATCGAGTGGCTGTGTTCCATATCGATGATAACAGCTATTGTGGCACCAAGGGCAGCAAGAATACCAGCTGCCCAGAACACCTCACCACATAGTGCTGGTAGAAATAGTAATCCACCCATACGTTCTCCAAAGGCATCCTGAAGAGGATCCAACATCGTGATGTACCCCTGCTGTCGCATCTTGTTGGCAAAGAATATACCACCTGAGGGGACAATACCGAGGGATAACCGTTAGGATGCTATTGGATTCCTATTGGGGTGCAATTAATCATCCGCAATATCCTTAATATCAAGCGGAATTACCGAAGACGAGGCTGAGGGCATAACCGAATGGCGCTTGACACCATATAAGCCCCTTGGTGTAAATGATCTCGGCGGTGCCATTAATATAGCCCCCGCCAACCCACGTTGCTGTCATGGTGAATATACCGACGAAGAGGCCGATGGAACGACCAGCCAGCATCACCTCCTCCTCGGAGTCGTTGCCGGCCTCTTTCTTCCTCGCTGCCCATATTCCCACACCCAGTATGAGGACGTAAAAAAGTCCAATTGATATGACACCAGCTAGGTTGAACATCTTTGGCGAGGATAGGTCCACTGGTGTTAGTTCAAGCTGGCGTATATGGAGATCCGAGAGGTTCGGTAAGCGATCCGATTTTTCCACGTTTGAAAACCTAATTTAAAGGCCATTTTAATTTAGCTTCATTACTAGCTTCATCATCACAATAGTGATGATAATTTTTCATGTCAAGTACCTCTGAAGACCCCGCGGGGTACAGTCACGCAACAGGGGGGGACAGCCTCACACGGGTACTGGCGGCATATCCTGATGACGGTCCTTCAGGACGGCCGATGATAACGGTGGATTAGGTGGGCAGCAATCGCCCCACCTGAGCGAGGTCTTCTGGGAGGGGCTATTCCTTGTCCTAAACGCGAGGCCGCCCATGGGCTCTGATGGCCATCGATTTCCACCCAACTCACTGCTTCTACTTGCACACCTACTTTTTATCGCTCTTATCAAGTCGATCAGATCGGACCTTATTTTTTTCTTTCTTTTTTACTACTCTTTCTTTTAAACTCTGTGGGATTGTGATTGACGACGCGCTTTGATGCTTGGACCGGCTTCCTGCAAAATCATCGCAATTCTCCCATGAAATTTCCACATCAGATTGATAATAAAGTGGATATTACGATGGCCACTATTAAGCATATAATACGGTAGGGTCTTATCGTCTGATCGGCTTGTTCAACACCCGTCGGACCCGTCGGGGATGGTTGATATAATCATCAATAATCACCGCACGATATATTTTCGTATCAACTCACATTACGATTCAACGCCTGACCACTCGACGAGGATTAATTGTCTTCATAACAATGAAAAGGTGATGTCAAAGGCCATAGATTCAAAACTGAAGGGAAAATTTGATTACTGAATCAGGACAAACGTCGAATAAACCCTGTTTCCGTGACCTTAACGACGGCCAGGTAAAAGGGGATCGAGTCTCGGTGAAAATGCATTTTGAGAAAATCAACGGGTTATGAATATTCAAAAGTACTTACTTTTAGAAAGATCATATCTTCGGATTTGGGGGGGGGGGAGTCACAATAATTTTCTCTTGAAACACGAGCTTACATTCAAGTAATTTCACTTGGTAGGAATTTATTGGTCTAATAATGAGATTAATTTTGAGTTAAAAATAACGTCAACGTGAGATGTCTTTTGAGCGTTGATGAATTTTTCGAGCGCTCCCCTGTGCACTCCCTAGCGTCGCGGCGGCCTCCCCGCACTGAAGGCACTTGGGTTGTCTCACTCGTCCCGTGGCCGAGGACCGCCAGAGGGAATCCACGAACGGGGGTTGCTATTGATTCGGCGCTCTGTGACGTCACAAACGCTAAAACAGGGGGTGCGTCCTCATCGTCATGCTCTCCCCCTCTCCCACGCAAATTTACCGAACATTTAGGGGCTTTGGAAAGGGGTGAATACGACCAGAGGCGTGGACTAGAGCCGTCAAGAGCAGGCGTCTGCGCGCCTTTATGATGCAACGTGGTGGCGCCACTTGCCGCTGGAGATGATAACAGAGAGATAAGAGTGATAAGAGTGAGGTGGGCTAGCGCTATCTCTGTCCATCGGGGCCAGGAAAGTTCACGTTGACCCCGGCCATGGGGATGAAGGAAAACCCGACAGATTTTTGGTAAACAGGAGATTAGAATTTCGTATGGCAGGTAGATGGGTGGTTGATGACTCCCAATGGGTCGTGATGGATTTTCCTTGAGGGGCTACTTTATGTTACCTCATCCTACGTCAGAGGACCTCTCTACTTGGGGGCATATCAAGGTCAGCAGCTTACTCCCCCCTAAGTCGTCGCATCAATCTGAGTCGGCCGGTTTACACAAGTTCTGAGCTAGATTGTCGTATGTTTGTCATTGTTTTTATCTCCACAGAGCTTTCTCGTGAATGGTTCATCTATAGAACGAAGATGAGGACAATTATCACTTGGAGAGTCGAAGAATATCATGGGCATTATTCAGTCAAACTGCAAATTTTACCAACCAACTATTTTTAGTAAATCGTGATGTTGAATTCGCGTGCGTCTAGAGTTGATCAAACAGAACAAAAAGGCCGATTGTGGACGTCATTGAATGGAAGTTTGAACGCGTCGCATGAAAAAAACATGGCGCTGATAGGATCAGACCTTGGAGACGTCTGCCAGTATTCAGAGTTTCCAAGTTTAATTGATGAAATAATAATTGTCGAATGCATGCGTCAATCCTGGATGAATAATGATGACTCGAACGTTATCCTGGGCAATGGTGTCAAAGAGTCAAGTCCTCGGTAACCGAGTTTCTGAAAAAAATCGACACGTGTCAAGTGAAGTACCTCAGCATTAACAATAGACACGTGTTACCGAAAAGGGTGGTGTGGTAACTGGATATGGTGAAAATACGTGTTCAGTGCTCATTGACTGGAGTAGGTGTACTGAGTTGAAAAAAAAAGGTTTAGTACTCTACACGCAAAGAGCACTGGTGAATGAAGAAAGTGTACTGATTTATTTCACACATTTTTCTTTATTTCACGTTTCCAAGGATTTTTCATTTACAACACAAATTAGTTTTATTATGCTTCCTTGAAATTAATAATCAACTGGACGTCTCTGGAAACACGCGAGACAGCCCTGTCCTGCGCCACCAGCTGAATGCTCACACGCCTTCAAGCCCTTGAACAGAGACAAATAATGAATTAATAAAAATATGAAAGTGGATGAAGTCAATTTGAAATGACGTCAAAGTTCAACAAAAGCATTTACTTCACAGTCAAATCAGACGGCACAAACTCTTGAAAATGCTTTGGATTTTTTTTTAAATAAGTGAAACAACGTCGATGGGCCAAAATCACTTACAGTTGAGAATTTATAGCCACTCGGACAATCCTTGAATGTAACAACGCCATTCCTGCATTCCGTGTATTTCGTGCAGTCGTACGGATGGCTGAGTTTCTTCACTTGACCAGCGGCACAGGGAATCCTGCACCTTGGGTCCTTCTTTAGCTGCTCCTGTTGCTCAGCAGTCAGTGGAAATTGCGCGTAAATGAATGTCACAATGCAAGCGAGTATGATTGCTAACTTCATCGCGATGTCTGCAAAAGAATGAGAACATTTCAATAATCGATTTACTCGGGGAAAAATCAAACATGTTTTCCTGCAACGGAAATGAATCTCTACCAGATAATCACGCAAGTGTTGACTGTGAATAAGCTCCACCCACTGAGATTAATCAGCGCGATCTTGCTTTTATACTAAAACAAAATCATAAATCGCGTAATCCACCGGTGTATCATTAAAGCTGAGAAGCTAGAAAATCCCTAAATCCTGATATCATTTGTCCCGTAAACCTCGAGGCAACAAAAAAATGTAATTCCGTTTCTGAGTGCTACACATATTTTCTTATCTCCTTCATTGTTTTTATCGTCACCGTTGATCCTGGGTTTTTTTTTGTTGAAACCCAGACCGTGACAATACGGAGTCATTCACTCAAATTGAATTGCCGTATACAAAGATGAAGAAGTGTACTTTGTGCGTAGGTGTATGTGTACATGTGTTTTGTTAAATGCAGTAAATTATTTCAATTACTGCTGGTGTCTGCTATAAATTTTCTTGACCCCGTGGTTTAACCCAGGGGAGAGTGGGGTAATGTGGACAATTTTGATTTGAAAAAAATATTATTACTTCATTGAACTGTTGATGAAGACAATAATTTTTCTTCCTCGCGTAAAGTACAATTTTTCCTCTTGCCGATGAGTCAAGACTGATCGCAATTGATACATCTATTTTTGAGTCGTGAAGATTAAAAAAAAAGTGAAAAGTGTCCGTTAATCGGACGGGTCAATTCCTACATACTAATTACAAATCTCCTTTTTTTTAAATCGACATTTCTCTTTGTTTCATCCCAGCAATATGAGATATATTTCAACTTCAATCCTCTCCACCTCTTCTTAAATGATCAAAAGTGGGTCAAGACCCTCGACTTTTATCCATGCCATCCCCCTCTCGCCATCTTGGCTTTTTTTTAGGCTCGAGGGTATTACATCACCAATGAACTATAATTACGATTCAATTTTTCGCGTTAATTCAGGGCAGAAGCCATCGGATTTATTTCATAGGCACTTCTCTACGAAGAAGAAATAGTCAACAATGGTAATTGATCGCTATCTTGCTCAAGGGGATAATTTTCCAACAAACTCATAGATCTGCAGTTGCATAATTGAAAGGCACAGCACGTGCTGTTCATTCATGCATCCAAGCTTTAGAGAAACAAAGTGGGGTTCTCCCTGTGGGGATCTAATGTCCACCTATACGGGAAATCGCGTCTCATCACACCTAACGCGTCGAGGAAATTATCGGGGTTGTCATACAGGAGACTCGAGTAATTCCATTAATTGCGAAGTAATTGCAGTGGAAATTATTCGATTGGATTAATTGAATTCTACGCGTAATGTCTTGTCTCATGGAATTACATTCTCGCACATCATAATTGAATATTACGATGACAAAATTTAATACATTGCAAAATAATCGAGATGAATAACAATTAACATTTGTTTTTGTAGGATGAAAAAAAAAATATTGATTCACGCTACAATAATTTCCACTTCAACTGCTCTTTTTTTTACAACATATTCTCAAACTTTGAATGGGTGAGATCTCTCTGGCTTGTTTGAATTTTCAAAATTTCTTATCATTTTTTTCAATATCAGAGTGTTTCAAGGGAACATACAGCGCCATCTACAGGATCTGCCATAAATAACGAGTCTTACCATCAAATGTTACATCTGTCAATAAGGAAGGAATCTCTTTTTTTTCCTTCCTAGGTGGCGTTGAATGGAAATGTGTAAAATTCAAAATATTTCACATGCTTAAATAAAAAATTGTATGCAGTAAAGTAGTGATGTGATGAGAATTGAGACTGCAAGACAGAATTCCTTATTTTTTTATTTCTCAATATATGTATTAATGTTAAAAAACTCTGTTGAGGGAATTTATTTGAAGTAAAAGGTGAGCATTGACGTCAATCCAATTCTATTATTGCATTTGTAAGAAGAATTCTGAAAAAATCCAGAAATTGATTACTAATTAATCAGAATACTCATTATCCCTCCGACGACAATTATAACAGCCGTGCGTAACAGTCACGTGTTGCGGGGGCTCGTAGAAATAAGTCTGCACGTTGCAGTGCAGGAGATGATAAGAGAAAGGATCGATAGCACTCACGTGGGGTAAAAACGCAAGTTTCTCATAATTTTAGAAGTGCAGAATCCTCTTGTTTCCCTGGACGAGCTCAAGCGCTCGGAGGAAAGCTCTGTAATCGAGCTCGAGACGCATTCCCCTTTCGATTGAAAAACATTTGTGGAGGGTATCGACTTCCTTCATGCTCAACAACTCCAACATCTTTCGGACTGACAGGGCCTTTGTCATCTGGTCCTTCGTTACTGTTCCAATATTCTCTTTATCAAAATCCTAAAGACAATGTATTTTTTTTTAATCCTTCAACTCCCCCAAAATCATAAAAAATATTCCATCCTTCAAGAAACGAAACCTTGAAAACTTGTTCCAAATTATGATTTCGAATTCGAACAAGTTTGTCCATAGCTTGAACAATCGTCTGTCGTTCCTCGAAGTTCAAAAATGTCTTTGGTGATGCATAAGATGGCACGTGTTGTACAGGCACTAGCAGTGGAGATTTCTCCAGAGCTCTTATGGTAACAGCTTCTTCGACAGCATTTCCAAATCTCTCGTAATCCACGAATCCGGCTCTTCACGATTTTTAGGTATCAAGAATCAACAATTATTCCGTTAATTTGAGGCTAAAAAAATTATTGAGAAGGAATTACTCACCTCAAAGGGGCTTTGAAGACATCCATTATGGTTTCAATTTCAGTCGGTGTTAAATTACAACGGATCTGATCCATACCCCTCGCGAAATCATTTCGGGGAATGGCGAGCTCGTTGCGCGGGTCAAAACCACGAAGAAATTCTGTTACCTGTACAAAGATATCCGACTTGAGGATTCAATCACTAGCCAAGCGATAAAACGATTCAATTTGATTTAGTCCTTGGCTGAGTTTTCCAAGAATATCTCCAAATCTGAGGGAGATAACGAAATTTTTGTAATGACCTTTTTTGTAGAGCGAATTAAGGGCTGCAAAAAAGGTTGCGATTTAATTTTTAGCCATCTCCCATAGATTTCGAGATATTCATTGAAAATTGGCCGCTTCTGAGTGCAAATATTGACCTTTACTCTTTCCCTAACGACCTTCGCCTTGATCTTTCCCAGAATCAGAACGATGTCCCTTTCATTTCGGCAAGGGATGGTCAAAGGCCTTTCTGCGTTTAGCAGGCGCTTTTCTTGCACCAACTTTTCATAGAGGGGTCTGGTTATTGGTAGGGCTTCGAGTTCTTGGAGAAATCGAGCATAATTGAATCCCATTTCGTCATTGTACCTTGAGGTATGCAAGTCATTTCCTTTATTTGTTTGTTATTGGTTGAGAGAGGAATGGTTTAACGAATTTAATTGACTGATTGGGGTTCTCTGTACCTCTGTTCCAGAGCGAAAATTTCTTCCTGAGACAATAAAATAGTCGCAGCAGTGAGGATTTGTCGCAATTGGCTGCGCGACACGTGGCCGTGGTTCAATCTGTGAGTAGTCGATAATGATTGATTATTTAAGGAGGAGATGAGTAAGCTAATGATTAATTTTTCTAAATGTGTAATCTCTTTTCATTCTTTTCCAATGCCCATAACTGGGAAATGAATTTATTGATTGAGCTCAGTCTAGGGTTGTCATGAAGGATAAGGAATTTAGGATTTTTCATGAAAGAAAAAAATTACGAAATTACTCCTTTTTATTAAAAATTCAATGAGTCATTAAAATTAAAAAAAAAAAGTCACAAGTGTCCGTTTTGCCCCACTTTAGTCAGCTAGCTATCATAATTATTGAGATAGGTAATTGATATCAATCTGACCGGTCATAATCCTTGAAGAATTGCTTGGTATTGATGCCTCTTTCATCAACCCTATACCGCACTTTCTGCACAGTCTCTTCACACAATTTTCTCATGTCCTTTGCTACACTCTGCCACTCATTCTGACCGAGTTTAGGCAGTTCTTTTACTTCAGGGGGTGGCGAATCGACCTTCAAGCATGGATATTTGTCCAATTCTTTGATAGTGAAGACTTGAAAAAAATACGATAAATTTATTTTCATCTTGAAAACGCAAGATAAAGAATTTTCAAGTAATGAAAATTACGCTGAAATTATTCAAGCGTTACCATGATCAATATCATCCTCAAATACCCTCCACATGACTCGTTTCGTGTCATTTGGGTCCAGGTAAAAGGTCACCAACTCCTCAATTTCGTGTTCCGCGAGGTACAACTGACCCAGAGATGATACTTGAAGGGAGTCAAGTCCTCTGCGGAATTGAGACGGGGTAATTCGACCCACATTCATCTCATCGAAGGGCTGTAGTACGATAAAAAAAATAGTCTTATCTCATCCGTTATTTTAACATGTGCAATTTAACGAATGAAAAACCTCGAGAAATGTGTGAATACGAATTCGTCGTTCCAGCACATGCCGTTGAATCCGACGGATCATTTCTATCAAACGCATTCGTTCCCTCGATCGTTTCAAGCCCGGATGAAACACAGATTGCTTTCCGAAGGCTTCACTCGCCAACACTCTTCCCACTTCTGGCCGCGGGAGCTTTGGCAATTCAGCCGTGATAACCCGCCCCGGGAATTGATCCAACAGCTCCTAAATTTCGTATAGATTGATTCATCGAATTTAATCATCTGGTGGGTGGGAACAGTTACCCCAGAGACGTGCAACATCCCGTGGTCGTCCATGTAATTTTGAGCATCATCAATTGCCTTGAGAAATGCCACATAGTTGAGTGTGTAGCCATCCTTAGCGAACCTCTTTACCAGGAGGCTAAATTCTTCAGGTGCGAGGACTATACCGAGGAAATGCAGAATTCTTCCGAAATGCGCTATTGTTACTGTCCCCGTATTTTTGGATATCTGTGAAGGGGAAACGTGAAAATCGCATTCGAAAATTTTTTGGGAAAGTTAAATAGCAGAATTTTTAAACTGTATCGGCCAAAAATCAATACTAACTAAAATGAAATGTTCAATGATTTATGAAAACTCATGAGTTGACTCATTTAAACTAATTAAAATTAAATGATCACGGTAAAATGAAAACAAATAGATAAATGTTTTACTAGTTCATAATCTTGAAAATACGGTCTGAGAACTAGCGTCCTCTTTCTAACATTGATAGAAATCTGAGTTATGATGAGATTTAATTTCCTGTGCTCGGAGCAACTCAAACGATTGACAGCCAGGGGTTCCTCCCACTCCAATCCAGTTATCATTGGCCTTCCCATAAACTCGGGTACTGAAAATAGATGTATCCATCATCGTGACAATATCATCCACCGATACCCAAAATCAATACATTCGCTCCTCGTTGCCCTTTACCACTGTCATGAATAACTTGGCAGAGTTGGGAATAGATAATCCTGCCATCTTGAATGCTGAAATAATCCGTCAAATCTGCAATTTCGGGGTCGGACAGACCGACGCAGTGCCTCAAGGGTCCCGTGAAAATCGCAATAAATTTTGTCTCTAAAATGTTTGAAGGAAACTTAAGGTTTCGGGGAAAAATTATCGCATTGGAGGGGTTTGGCCGCTTTATACCTGAGATCAGGCCATTGTTATTGGGGTCTAGGGGCTTGAAGTAATCCCAGAGGTTCAGGTCAATACGAAAAACTGCCGCACGGATCTTATTGCAGACCCTCCATACGTCTCGAAATTTTAGGTCCTAAAATTATTGAACAAAGGTATAATGAGAAAATTGTCAGAATTCTTTAAGGCAAAATTCCAATAGCATCAATTACTTTCAGTGGAGTCTTCATGCTTCAGCTGTGTGGCTTTAGTAAAAATGAAAAATTGTATTTCTTGTTAACCAAAAATTTAAACATTTGTACACAGGAAAATTGTCAGTAGCCCCCTCTCTCTTGAAATGAGTTCCAGTGCGTTTTCTTTTTTTTCTTCCATCGATTCGATTTAATAAATTAAGGCCACATTGTGTATTTTTCCATCTGTATAATTTGGCTGGAGATCTGTAGAAAATCATTTTAGGGGTGAAATTCCGCTCTAAACACTAGCGGCTCTGTGATATAAAAGCTAGATAAAAACACGAAAACGACAATGTTGTTTTTATTTCGAGGGCGCCTAAAAATAGAGAGGACGCTCGTGTTGGTATAATTAGCCTCGACGGAAGTAACAACCGGAAACAATGCCAGAGAAATAATTTTAGAAAGTCAACATTCAACAATTGTCTATGTGATTTTTTTTTAATTTCGTCTTCAGAATAATTAATTATTCCCAGGCGTAAAAAATTTCACCCAAGCTTTTGACAAAACGCGCGGGATGTAAACCCACGCTCTATTGATTTTCTCATAAAAAAAAAACGACTGCCAAGGAAATGACGCCATCAAATAGAGCGGGCTCGTTTCTGATTGGCCGGTTTTTTTCATTCCAAATGTATCAGCGAAATTCATTGGCTGGAAATTGGAACGTAATCGCTCTCTAGCGACGGTTTTCACAAGCTGGAAGCATCGTGCTTCTTGACGCTCATCGATCGGTTTTTCAGGGACGGCTGCTGCAATGCCGGCCACTGGAGAACCCCAATATTTCCTGATAATTATCTAAGAACTCGAAATTAATCCTGTGAATTGTCCTAGAGCCTTGAAAAAAATCCCACAACAGGAAAAACTCAAAACGTTCAAGAAAAACTCGGTTTTCCAACAGTTCTATTGACGATTGGCGTGTAATTTCCGGTGGAATTTTCCACACGCGTTACCTCCGAAATTCCGTAGAAATACCGATTGATGATTAGCAATAGCAATATTAAGATTGCTGCGATGATTCGAAAACAATATATCGCCGTGATATATAATTTTGTGCCATTTATCGGCATATTTAATGCCCCTTGAATATTTTCTGGTTTATTTTTATTTTTTTTATTGGCGCAAAAAGGGGCCTGATACCCTCGGGGCGCGGTCCTGAAGTCTGTTCTCTCATTGGTCGCTTGTCCGGAAAATGAGGGTGAGGGCATCAAGGGGGGAATATCCCTACCCAGAATGCACTGCGCTTCGTCGAGTCTCGTGAATCTCGAAGTGACTGGTCGTTTGGCTGTCGGCCTTCCTTCTCCATTCGGCAGCCGAGGCGTACGGACGTGTATTTATTATTCACCTCAGTTCCGCGTCTCTAGTGATTGATTTTTCTTAATTATCTTCTCTTTAACAAGAAGTTAATTAAATTGATAAACTCCATTCGATAAAACTAATTCGTTCGCCCGAGTGAATTAGTTGAATTGCGCGAAAAAAATCCGCAATTATTTCAAAAATTAATTTGTTCATTTGAATAAACAATAAAAGTTTGAATAATGGCTGATCAGGAGAATAAGGACTTCAGTGAGGACATCGCCGACCAGTCTTTCGAGCAGAACGGAGAGGCGGAAAATGGCGGCGGCGGTGACGCCACAGAAAATGGACAGGATTCCCAGGAAGACAGGTAAGACTTTTCATCGAATTTTTATTGTTTCTATTTACGGGTCTATTCTTCTTTTCCATTCTTAATTTTCCTCTCGTGACATTTCGTCCCTCAGATTATTCGATTTTTCGTGATAAAAGATAATAATTCCGAATTTTATCGAGGACTTGCTCGAGACAAAATGGCAGACGCGCGTTGCCGCCAGCGAGGAGTTGAGAATATGATAAAGCAATGAGAGTTGAGAAAATCCAAATGCATCCGCGTCGGTTTATCGCGTGTCTGCTATTTTTCCTCGGGTTATGGGAGATTGTTAGCTCTTGGGTGAGTGAGTGGTTGTATTTTTTGGATTCACGGGATTTTTTCATGGAAATTATGTAGTCTTTGTGGAGACGCTGGGCATTGGGCCGGCATTGGCGTCCAAGACGCACCCACGCATGAGGGAATGAGAAGACGCAATAGTAGGCGACTTTGTAAAATGGCTGATAATAGCCGGAGGTTTAGGTCACATTGCGAACCATTTCACAATTATTAATGGACGATTATGAATAATTATTTCCTGCTCGTAGCATTTATATTTTCTGCAACAATTGGCGGAAATTGTAATAATTTATGTACGCAACGTCTTCGTAAATCTGCACATGAATTTCTAGACTTGTAAAATCCTCCACCATTTGTCAATTGTAACGCGTGATAAGTAACGATTTTGTTAAAAAAAAAATTAATAATAATATATATATATTAACAGAAGACAATAATTTCGCACTTATCTCGTGGATTCGATTATAATGTGAAATGATAAAACTTACGAATAAATTGTTAAAATAGTCTGTAAGAATTTTAATCTCATCGAGCGGTCAAGGTTTTCTCTTCTCTTTTCTATTCCACACTTTCAGCAATCACAAACTTGGATTCACTCGACGGCCGATTTTACTGTACTATATATTTCAGTCGCAATTTATATCTCCAATTGTCACTATTTAATATCTCTCGTGTTGATAATTCCACAGCCAATATGCGTAAAAATGAGTAAAGATTGAGTAAATAAATGACGGGTAAGCATTGTCTAGATGAGTAATTTTAGAGATTAATTCTGTTCAAAAGGGAAAGGGGATGCAATCTTCAAATTAATTGATTGATTGATTGATTTGACCCATGTTGTAGATGAATGTGCTGAATTTTCAAGTTTTGCATCCCCTCGCTCATAATAAATTACGTAAAAATCGTGCAGATTTGAAATCGGAGACGTTGACGTTACGGGAAAAACCTAGAATACAATTGGTGCCAATGGCCGGCGGCTCTCCACAGATGGTTATCAATTCTCATTCTTTTCACATGATTCTATCGATCGAAAAAATAATAGTCATGAAATTATTGTAAGTCATTCTCCCGTAATCAATGCAATTTTTTCATAGGAATGAAAAACATTTGAAACCTTAAAATTAATGGATTTTGTCTTAGTATGTAGTATAATACTGAAAAATTTTTTGTAAATCTAATGTAAAACACCTTAATTTCCAGTCCTACCTTTATGAATTAATTGATTGTAAACGATTTTAATAAAATTTGTAAATGATATAATAATCCTGTCAATCGGTAGATACTTTATGATTGAAGAGAACTTGAAAATTTATCGGCTAATTAATTGTAAAAAAATGTTATTTCTTTTTTTTATCATTTTTTTTCTCCAATAACTAGATTTTCTTTTGGAAGATTTATAAATGTTATCTTTGTGCCAGCCGTGAGAGAGTCAACTGCCGTGTTTTCATTCGATTGCAGCTGAATTTAACTGAATCAATTGTCGAGTAGAACCAATGGAAATTGAGAAATCCTCAAAACGATTGATTGCCTGTGGGATATCACAATAGAGAGTATCTTTGAAGCCTTGTGATAAAAAAAAATTTAACTATCGTCTCATCGTCAAGTATCGTCACGGCACAAGCACTGGAAGTTCGAGTCAAAGTACTGTTTCGCACAGAGAATATGAAAAATACAAATCACCTTGCCTGCTGGGTCACGCAGTAGAGTTCAATTGCATATAAAATATATAAATTGAAGTGATTATTTTGGGGCGTGACCGAAGCAACAGAGTCACTAGGGCCAAAATAAATAAACCAAAAAAACCAAAAATGCGAAAAAAATTATTGTCAACAGACTACGTGGAGCGCCATTAACCCAGTTTATGTGGCTTGGTCTGCAGGTGGCAAACGACCCAGTGCGAATATGGGCGGGCGGCTCGCAACTGGCTTACCGAGAACCTACCGACAACTCTGAGTACCGGCGAGTGACTGGTGCCCACGGTATTTATCACCAGCCCTAGATGATATAAAACAAAAATATGAAAAAAAAAAAAAAAAAAAAAAAAAAAAAAAAAAAAAAAAAAAAAAAAAAAAAAAAAAAAAAAAAAAAAAAAAAAAAAAAAAAAAAAAAAAAAAAAAAAAAAAAAAAAAAAAAAAAAAAAAAAAAAAAAAAAAAAAAAAAAAAAAAAAAAAAAAAAAAAAAAAAAAAAAAAAAAAAAAAAAAAAAAAAAAAAAAAAAAAAAAAAAAAAAAAAAAAAAAAAAAAAAAAAAAAAAAAAAAAAAAAAAAAAAAAAAAAAAAAAAAAAAAAAAAAAAAAAAAAAAAAAAAAAAAAAAAAAAAAAAAAAAAAAAAAAAAAAAAAAAAAAAAAAAAAAAAAAAAAAAAAAAAAAAAAAAAAAAAAAAAAAAAAAAAAAAAAAAAAAAAAAAAAAAAAAAAAAAAAAAAAAAAAAAAAAAAAAAAAAAAAAAAAAAAAAAAAAAAAAAAAAAAAAAAAAAAAAAAAAAAAAAAAAAAAAAAAAAAAAAAAAAAAAAAAAAAAAAAAAAAAAAAAAAAAAAAAAAAAAAAAAAAAAAAAAAAAAAAAAAAAAAAAAAAAAAAAAAAAAAAAAAAAAAAAAAAAAAAAAAAAAAAAAAAAAAAAAAAAAAAAAAAAAAAAAAAAAAAAAAAAAAAAAAAAAAAAAAAAAAAAAAAAAAAAAAAAAAAAAAAAAAAAAAAAAAAAAAAAAAAAAAAAAAAAAAAAAAAAANCAAAAAAAACAGAAAGCCAAAAGTTCAATGAAACAGCAAATATAAAATTTTCTAGTGAAAATGTGAGATTATTCCACCGCAGCTTGTGTTTTGAGCAAACATATCATAAAAATTGGAGGAAAAGTACATCACCACTCGATGCAATTGATCAAATACTTATTTGCCGATGAATTTGTGAATAAATTTATCAAGTTCATGACATTTTGAGAGAACAAATCATATGGGTATTGTAATGCGAGATTATCTTTGCCACTTGTGAGAGACAAATATGTGTAAAATCATTTTTAAGAGATTATGAAAAAGAGAAAGATTCAGTGGATTTTTTTTTATAGCATTCCCATATTTGTAATAGAGTTCCAGTTCAGAGTCAACCCAATTATCAATTCCTTTGGGCCTATCAGCAGTTAAGAGAATATACTATTCGTTGATTATGTGGATGAACAAGTTTAATTATTGTTTTCCTTAGGCGCAGCTGTGTGGCAACTGGAGTCTTGACATATAATCGATCAAATTTTCCCATTTTTTTTCTTTTTTAGAAACTTTTTATTTGCTTTCCTCATTCTCTTAAAATTTTCCCATTTTTTTTTCGTTTTTCATCTCGTTATTATTATGACTTTTCTATTGGCTAGGTACTTTATTCTTTTAGGGGTCTGTTGTATCGAATATCTATTGACTGTAATAATCCCTTGTCATCGGCGTTTCTCTTCAAAATTTGTCATTTGGGAGAATACACTTGTTACTATTTTCTGTTATGTGTTGTGGAGACATCATATACACCGTACATGATTTCTTTATTTAGTTTGTTAAGGAAATAGAGATAAATTTAATTAACCACATATTCTGTTGTTGTAATAGAGTAGAGAAAACTGGAAGGGAATCAAACTTATTCTCTCTCTCTCTCTCGCTCTCTGTGTGTGCTCGGTGTTGAATTTATTCTTCCCTGTTTGTTTCTATTTTTAACAGCAATTCGAGATCATTCCAGGGGTCGAATCAATGTTCCTTTTTGATAATGGATTACTTTCATTGAGGGATCAGATTTTCTTTGGCTGCGTTTATTTTTATTTACTGAAATATTCGAGAGATTTAATGATTTAGTACATGTCACTTATTAACCAGATTTTATCGTTCACATTTATCTAATATTTTTTTCGATTCATTTGCAGGTCTGCTGGCGGTAACAACCAGGAGTCGCTGAATGACAGGTACTTAATCATTCAATTCCATTGATTTACAATATGATATGAATCTTTTTCACTTGAGTATTTGGGGACAATTATTTATTCGTGTTATTTTTTTTCTGTACATTCAGGAAATTGTTCGTTGGAGGTCTCAGTTGGGAAACCACTGACAGTGAGTATAATTTTTATTGATGATTATTGATAGAGTCTTGGAGATTTCCAAATTAAAGTCGAGAAAAAAAAATCAGCAATGATGTATTATTATCTTAGGACACCTTCGGACAGCAGAATGGCACTGTTGTATGAGACTAATAGATATCTGAGCTTACTTTTAACAAATTAATGATTTTTTTTTTATGAGACCAATTGACATGAAGGGATGTAAGACATTTTTATTAATGAAATGCTGTTTTATTTTTTCAGAGGAACTAAGAGATCACTTTGGTTCATATGGAGACATCGAGAGTATCAATGTCAAGACAGATCCCAACACTGGAAGGTCAAGGGGCTTTGCATTCATCGTCTTTGCCAAGGCTGAATCGCTGGACAAGGTAATTATTTTTCATTCCAATTGAGAATGGCAAGTGGTAATTCGGGATATTTGACAAATTAATTGCTCCTGTTTTACTACTTTCCCATTAATTTTTTCTATTCCCCCATTCAAAATGATGATTTTAATAGTCAGTTCTGCTACTGAGTGTAAGTGAGGACAACCTTGGCTGCTGAAGCTAAAAAAATATCCCCCAAAAATATTCACCCTCTCTGGTACAAATTCTAACCAGACAATTGTCTTTCTGTTCAGATTATGCAAGCTGGTGACCACATCATCAACAACAAAAAAGTTGACCCGAAAAAAGCCAAGGCACGACACGGAAAAATCTTTGTCGGAGGACTGTCTACTGAACTGTCTGACGATGACATTAAGAACTTCTTCTCTCAATTCGGCACCATCGTTGATGTCGAAATGCCATTCGATAAGACAAAGAACCAGAGGAAGGGTTTCTGCTTTATCACGTTTGAATCAGAACAGGTGGTCAACGAACTCCTCAAGACACCAAAACAAACGATCAATGGCAAAGAGGTGAGAAATTCGTAATCATTGAAATTTAACATTTTTTTTTCCCTCAACATCACTCCGTACGAAATAAAAACAACTCTATATTTAATTCCATAATTTTTATTGTTTGCAGGTTGATGTAAAGAAAGCTACACCAAAACCAGATGGCATGGGTGGAATGAGAGGTGGTGCTGTTGCCAGAGGTGGTCGTGGACGAGGCCGCGGCCGAGGATTTGGAGCCCAGGGAGGCTGGGGCCAGAGCAATTACAGCGGTGGCTATGGATACGGTCAGGGTGGCTATGGTGGTGGATATGATGGTTACAATTACGACTACTACAGCGCTGGATACGCTCCCTACGATTACAATGGTTACGGTAATTACAGTACTTATTAATTTTAAGGCTCTCCCGACTCTTCTTCATTTTTTTTATTACGTGAATTATTCTCGAGTCAATAATTTCCAGTTGAATTGAACTTTCGTTTAGTTTTTTGTATTTTTTATGATAATACATTTGGAATATTTGTTGTTATCAAATGAGATTAGAAGACAGCTGCATCGTATCGTAGTTTTAATGTTAGAATATGCCCAGTTGAATGAAACAACATTCACAGATTAGCAGACAGATGCACTCATTTTCAATCTAATCCATGATTATTATTACAGAATGTTTACATAATTTCTATGATAACGATGACGTATGAACTTGATTTTTTTTACAAGTCTGTGGAATAATCTGCTCAGCATTTGCGCATTGCTGTTTGGTGTCATTAGTTCAATTAAATCCAGATAAATAGAAATATTATAATTAAGATAACAAGCTCGTAATGATAAAAATGAAGGAAAAGTGAACAGCACAATGAGGGGTACGAGATGAAAAATCGAGTAAAGCCCATTCATTCCTGCTTATCATCATCATTATCATCATCATCATCCACCCAACAACTCTTTCCCATCACGCATGGAGTCTATATTTTAATCCCAACCTTTTCAAAATCGCATTGATAACGTCATTATGAAAATCAATTCTATCATTTCATGGCTACGGAATATAAATCGAAGAAGGAAGGAAAAAATATTCCTCAATTGCAGTTTATTTCTCCTATTTCAGAGATAGTCATTGTGGGTTTAAATCTGTTTAGTTTAGGGATATCCTAGTATTATGGCTAAGGGAGGAACATTAAAACTAGAATTAATTTTCATTTTTCGATTAACAAAGTAAGATAGAACCATATTGTTTAGCTGTTGCACTTCTGTCAAAGCCTCAGGAGGAGATTGAAGAGGTAGTGGAGTGGTGAAATGATGGAGAATTGTTTTTCTCCTTATTAATAAAATTGTATTTATGAAGTCAATCGTTAACGAGACCCGTCAATTGTTATTTGTATTTAATATGAGTGATATCACGAGAAAATGTTTACCAACATTTTCCCCCTTAAAATCACTCGTTATCGAGATAATTCAATTGTTAACAAATTGTAAAAATCGTGAAATGTGATAAGTAAAATTTAACATTTTCTTTTAAAACATGAGTTTAATTTTCAATTGTCAGTCACTGTTCCACACCTCGAACAATCATCGTCTCAACTCCTTAAAATCATAATTTTTACAACGAGATTTCAGAGGAGAGCAACGCAGACAACCTCACCATAAAATCTAATCAGAAAATAAAAAAAAAACCTCTCATCGAACAATTAAATAACTAAAGTCTCTCTTATACCGTGTGTTCCATGAAAACGGCAGACGGCTATGGCTATGGCGGGGGTAGTTACGATGGTGGCTACAATGGCGGGCGCGGTGGTGCACGGGGTAAAGGTACGCATTAGCGTTCCTTATCTATTGTTTTTGTTCACCCTCCATTAAAATCGGTATCAACAATTATCTCCCCAGTTTTACTTTCTCCCAAAAAAAAAAACACCTGTTCATATATTTCTCTGTGACCCCGAGATACCACAAAAAACATACCCAGGTTATCCTCTCACGACCGTTACGCCCCTCACAAATCGATTAGAACGAATAGTTTAAAAATAATTAAAGTATCATCTCACCCATACACTTGCATGAATGCGCTTGTCACTCATTCACATGGTAACACCAGCGCTCTATATTTCAATATATTTTACAGGACGTACACAATATTCTTCACAAAAACCTATCATTTAAATATCTCTCATTCCTTCCCCTTAACACTTACCACGTGGTTCTTCAATTATTGCAAATTGTCAATTTATTATTTCTTTTTGTCATTAAAATTTTTAGTTGGTTTTTTGAGTTACACACCCTTATGGATAAATTTCAATTCACTCCTTTAATTAATACCATCCCGATTACATTTCTGGCGATCATTTTTTTGTTCTCATCACTCATTTGTGCCTCTATTCATATCCATTAAATCTATCACAGGGTAAATTGAATTGATTAAAAACAGAAAAATGATAAGGCCAGAAATGTGAGAGGGATTTAAAAAATAAACAGGGAGGTATATGAATTGGGACGCAGCCTACAGCTTACTACCTTAGCCTGTAGCCTCTATGTAGTCAAATATTTTCTCTAGTTTTCTATTTTTTGTTCTGTACATTAATTACAAAAGAAATCAAATGAATTTCGAATAATAATTGAATTAATGATTTCATAGACGAATAGTTGATCCATGCAGTGTGCGTGTGGTAGATTTTTTTTTTTGCATAATCAAATAAAAATTAGTTTAAGTGACTTATTCAAAACACGTCACCAGATTATTCGTTTTTAATTAATCATAATCAATGATTCTTGTTCACAATTTGTTTTGATTGTTTTTTTCTACAATCTTTGTTTATTTTTGTTTTTTTTTTTTTTTTAATATTGAGTTAAGTTGAAAATAACTTCGGTGGAAGGTGTAAAGGGGGGGAATGTCCATAAAATTGGACTAACAGTGCGACATGGGTGTGTTTCAGGAGGCTCAGGCTACGGCGGCAAGCAGAGGGGTGGTGGTCGCCAGAACCAAAGGCACCAACCCTATTAATGGAATATCATTAATCGCGACATCAATGCTAATTGGCATTGTAACCGCTGGTGAGTGTCCCCTTAATCTTTCCTTACCACCTCATTTATCTAAAGAAAAAAAAATCGAAAAAAAAGGTTCTTCGAAGGTGGAATAAGGATACAAAAATAATACAAAAAATTAATGAAATAATAAAACTTATTCCACTTGCATGAAGAACCAAAAATATTCATTTAACTAAAAGGCTTCTTGTGAATCGTTTTATCCTCTCATCTCCCCTTTCATTTATTAACTTTTGCCTGCTTCACCTTCTGCATGGAATTCCCTTCCTCTCTTTCCCTCTCCACTTGTTATAAATTATTTCGTGAATTTTAATATATCCAGCATTAAGACCTGTGTTATCAGCATTGTTACTTATTTTTTGTGGAATTTTAAATAATTTTAATTTGATTTTTACAGGCTCCCTGCCCCACAACAAATCTCACAACTCGTCGAATCATCATTCCATTAAGCCCCGTCATTTTCAACCACAAGACATGCAACAACGCAGACAACTGTCGCAAAATAATTACACCCACCAAGATCACCAACAGAAGCAGCAATAGCTTGTAAAGCAATGATCGATTCTTTACTTTCGTTCTTTCATCGTTCATAAACCCCTCAAATGAAGAATATTAAAATTTTGCTTGCTCCGTCATTATTTCAGGTGGCTTATTTTCTTTACACACATAAGTTTAAAATATTAGAAATTATGGATTCATTAACGCTCTTGATATGTATTATTGTGTACATACTGGAGACGTACATGTGTTTTCTAAACTGTATTTTTCTCCCTTGTCACTTTTATCTCTCGTCTTTTGTACAAATTCATTAAATTCACCCCCAGTCTTCTTCACTATTTTCAGTCACTTCATAATTTATCAAAAGAATTCAACAAAAATTATCAATGATTCATTCACTCCATCCAACATTTTGTACAAAAGATGAATAGATTAAGAGCGAAAAAAGGCCAACAATGTATGAATTTGTCTAATCATTAAGTGACACAATAGTAAAACAATAATTACGATGTGAACGTAAAAAATGATTGAAGTAATCGACGTATGTCCTCACACCTTTTTTAACAATAAGATTATTTTAATTTTGTCTATAATTGATATTTACTACTACTAGTGTTTAAGTAAGCAGGCAATGTACTTTTTACTGAAAAAAAAACAAAAGAATGGAAAATGATACGAACAGAACAAATTAGTGACAGTTTCTACATGTAGAAATTGTTTTATGTTTACGATTAAGTACGTGTCGTAAAAAGAATAATTGCTTCCTTATTGCTAAGTTAATAGGATTAAATAAATTCATTTTGTGTACATAATTAATATGTTAATTTATTTCATTCAACCCATATATGAACATTGAGTGAATGAGCAGCATTTTTTTTCTTCATTCTATTGAAGCAAAGATTTGTCGATAAAAAAGAAATGATTGGAATTTTTTTTCCTCAAAAGACAATTCAAAGTTGAATATGAAGTCACTTCTAAAAAAGGTGCATTATCATTTGTAAATGAGTAAAAATTTTCTATGAGTCATGATAAATGTCGTAATGGTGATATTTTCCAGTCCTGCAGATGTCACCACTGGAATTATCATGAAAAATCGAATCTTAAAAGCTCCATTGGAAGAAAAAAAAAGTCTTGCCGCCGTTTCAATGTTTTGCCACTTGTGAATCCATAAAATACGTGAATAAAAATCCATAAGAATAAAATTATTCATGAACAACCGTTGGAAATCCACCACAAGATCTTAGTTCCTCACGCCATCCACCAGAGTGTGAATCCAAAAGCTACACCACAAAATGGCCAAATTCATTTTAGGAACACAAATATCCCGAAGTTAGCCAACAATCCCTTTCAATTATCCCCGTGTATTTTACCGGCTCATACGGTGTACTATAATTCCAGTGTGCAGGGTTTCGCTGTGTGCTGATACCACGAGTGCTCCTCCGGTTGACTTTTTTTTTTTTGTGTAACAGAGACAGAATAAAGAGAAACAAGTCATAACTATTCTACATCCCCCTCTCTCAATAACCAAGTACCAAACTCTGAAATAGAGGATAGAGTTAATGTTTGTACATTAATTTTTGTATTTAATAAATTTTTACGATAATATACGTTTTAATCGTTGGGAGATTGTACATTTTTTGCCTACGATTGAGCTGTTGGGGGTTAGTGGTGGCAGACTGGACGTTTGTTGTTTGATCCATTTTTCCAAGGGAGAATATTTCGAGCACTCGTTTTTTTTTTTCGGGAGTCCCGGCTCGAATCTAACCGACATTCCGGCGCTGGACAGCTCTGACACACGAGGAAGAGAGTTTACGAGAGGAAATACGCCAGAGGGTGAGTTCAGCTTGATATTCAGTGAATTTTCCCTCATTGATGGGAAAATCACTCGGAAATTCTTATCAAAGTTTTTTTTATTCTTGAGATAGAGGAATTTGGGGGGTGGGGATGGGGGGATAAGAGGAAGAGAATCGGGAAGATTTGTAGAGTGGAGAGAATTTGGAGTAGATCCTGGGGATTTTGGCGCTTCGGAGCGTCCAAAAAATCGCCATGCTTGCGCCGGGCGGTCCCTGGAAGTTTCCTCAGTCTCACGACGTGATTTAATACGCCGTAATCCACAAACTTTTTACGTCTTTGGTTTTTCATTTTTCTGGAAGGTGCGAGAGGCTGTGATTGAGGGCTTTTGAGTTATTAAGAAGGCAGGGTGAGGGAGGTGCCTGAAGGCCGTGTGTGTGTGCGTGCGTGGGTGCGTGGAGACTCGGGAAAAAAATTTCGCCATGTGCCTCGAGTTTTAGACACACGCGAGAAGTCTTTGTTGGAGCTAGATTCATTCTAATGATTTTTTTGGGGATTCTATTGATTTCCACAATTATTCAGTGTCTTTTCTTCTCCGTGAATTAATTCAACATATCAATTGTGGAAACTATTGTTTCCAAAATTGTTTGTGCTTTTATCAAATTAATTGAAATTTTTATTTTATCATTGAATCATTCATTAAACTGTACCGATTAAGATTTTTTATCTAGAATATGAATGAATCAGCCTTAGATATATCTAGATATATCTTGGAATTAATTGAGAAAATCATTTTATGTAAGTAATTTCTCGACTTTATAAATTAGGAGCTCATTAAGATAACTGATGGGACGAAGCTTGATTGAGGATTTGTTTTGGCTTGTTTGTGTTCAGAAACCTGCCTCCTGAGACTCGAGGACATTACAAGAAAAGATAAGAGCTTGAGATTTGAGGAAATTGGCAACGATATTATTCGTGTGGAAGTTGTAACATCAAGGTGATATAAAGGAAATGGTCATGGAGGCAACCCCCTCGGCTCAGTCTGTCGGTCGTGAGTTTGTCCGGCAATATTACACGTTGCTCAACCAAGCACCAATTCATTTACACAGGTAATCTTGATTTTTAGTTATAAATCATCGTTGTAGTATTGTTCTAGTCAATTTCATTTTAATTTTTGGTTTCTTTTTTGCTTTTTCAAGATTCTACAGCAACAACTCATCGTTTCTCCATGGAGGACTGAGTATAACTGATCGCGAGATTATCCCAGCAATTGGACAGAAAGAGATTCATCAGAAGATTCAGCAGCTCAATTTCTGCGATTGCCATGCCAAAATTACTCAGGTCGACTCTCAGGCTACTCTCGGTGATGGTGTTGTTGTTCAGGTGAGAAATACAATGAAATATTTTCCCTTGTGGAATGTGACAGCAACAGAATATTCAACAGGACATTGAAAATTCCCTCATAATAATGATATGTCCAGGTGTCAGGAGAGCTCTCAAATGCAGGTCAACCAATGCGTCGTTTCACCCAGACCTTTGTATTGGCAGCGCAGGCTCCCAAAACATACTACGTCCACAACGACATTTTCCGTTACCAGGATCTAGGCTTTCCCGACGAGGAGGAGGGTGAGCTGGAGAGTGAGACGGGTCTGGGTGAGGGTGGCGAGCGTGACGGTGGTGAGGGTCGCTCAGAGGCCGAAGAAGACGACAGCCATCATCCCTCGACAGTGCAGACTGTTGGAGACCAGCAGCAGCAGCAGCAGCAGCAGCAACAACAACAGCAGCAGCAGCAACAGCAGCAGCAGGCTCACACCAACCTCATTCCAGCTCAACAGCCAGGCATCGCTCCGCCCCAGCAACAGATCTACTACCCTCCACCCCCTCAGCCTCAGGTTCATCCAGGCATCCAACCAGTTATCAACGGAAGTGTCCACGAGGAGGCGCCTCTGATCAGTCAGCCAGCACTGGCCCCACCTCAGCAGCCCCCAACTCAACACCAGTACATAACAGAGACAGCACAGGAGCAATTCACCACTCAGGATCAGGAGAGCACGACGACAGAGCCACCACAACAGGTGCCACAATCTCTTGTTGACGAGGACATTCGCACTGAGGAGACCAATGAACAGCAGGAGAGCGAGACTTTCCAGAGTTCATCGGTTGAACCTGAAGTTGATCACAATGCTGCTGGCAATGCCAATAGCCAGAGATCCTACGCACGTACGCTCCGATCCAATGTCATGCCTGGCCACAGTCCACAGGTATCGAAATTGTCCATGTCACCTCCACCCATGTCCATGCCCATTGATGATCGGGCCATGGGGGTGAAGACAGCGAGTTCTTCGACAGTTTCCTCAGGTATCATGTCTTCCGGTCCAGGCCAAATTCATCGAATGGCCAATCAGACACAGCAACAGCCACTGCCACTGCCCCAACAACAGCGCCCACCTCGTGTAGGTCCCCCCCAGAAAGACAATCGTGGACGTAGAGAGTGGCCCGATCACCACCAACTATTCGTTGGTAATGTACCACACCAAGCAACAGAGAACGAACTCAGGAAAATCTTTGAGAGATACGGCAAAGTTGTCGATCTTCATATCCACTGCAAGACTAATGACAGGGGTAAAGGGGGGCCACAGGGACAGAACAACTCCGGAAGAGTACCAAATTATGGATTTGTCACGTTCGAGGATGCCAATGTTGTGCAGAAGGTTCTCGATGCACTTCCTATTCTCTATCCAGATGACAGTGGTCTAAAGCTCAATATTGAGGAGAAGAAAAATAAACCGAGGGGTCCTGGGGATAACATGAGGTCGAACCAGGGTGATGGGAATATGAGGTCATCTATGGGTGGACAACAGCAGCAGTCACAGCAGCGTGGCCCAGGTAATTATGAAAAATGCAATATTTCAATCTTTTGACGATGAAACAAGTCTCAATTTTTCATAGATAAATAAATGAATGTCTCCTAAAATTACAGGTGGACCAGGTGGCCCAATGAGAGGCTCTCAGCATGGTTCAAGAGGTGGTCGTGGTGGATTCCAGCGTGGTGATGGTGGTCGAGGTGGAATGAGGCAACAGAACAACATGGGTAGTGCAGCTTATCAAAATCGTCGTTAAAATCGACCTCGCACTCTCTCTCTTTTTTTTTTTTTCCACTTTGGAAAATACGACGCCAATTACTACCCCTTCCAGACACAAACAAAACAACAAAACAAAAGAAGAGTATAAAGTTAATGCCGTTGGACGGATTAATAGAGGATAATAGACGGCAGAGACAAAAACACTATTAATCTAATGATGATAGAAAACAAAATACAAAGCAAACTCAATCGTTGACGAATGTGTAATCGAATTAAGTTTCCTCTTCTGTTTCTTTGGAGAGAGAATGGTACGTTCTCACTCCAAAATTGTACCTCGGGGCTTCGGAATATCTCCTACAGCTCAATTAATCGATTATCATGCAGTTATTTGTTGCAAAGCGACTAAAATAAACTCTTGAATTTATAGAAAAAAAAAAAACAAAACAAATTATTTACACTTCATCAATCAATTGCTTCTACCTTCTGAGGCCCCGTGCATCGATCGCCACTTTCATTATTATATTTTATTTTCACTGTTCCCTCGAACGCCGTCCGACCCTGACGGTCAACATCAACATCATGTGGATGCAACGTACTATTTTATTTGTTTTTGTGGGAATTGAAATGGAAAATTTCAGATTGAGTCCCCTGAATATTATAAAATGTGATTTTCAAAGGCTTTGATGAATAACGAGATGGATTGAAAAACATTTTCAACATTCCCCATTCAGATCACGTGCCAATGACACTCACTCTGTCAATACCTTCATTTTACTTTCCACTCAAACAACAACCAATCAGTGGTGAAGTGATGAAACGTTGAATTGTTTTGAGAAAAATTATCAATTCGACAATAATTTTACCACTTCACAACTGCAATGATTGACATATTATTTTGCTTTGTCACAAATGAAAAAGCAAAAAGTGTTCTTCATGTAAAAAAGATAAATAAATAAGCCACAAAACGATGTCAAGCCATAATAAAAAAAAAAATTGAACATACAGAATGATGAGTCACACAAGATATTAGGCTTAACTCGTTTTAATCCACGTAGAGAATCGTTGCACCTCTAGAGTGTAAATAAAACAAGATATTCAAATGATCGAAATATTTGACAAAATACCTCGTTGATTTAAATATCTTCAGTAGCTCTACGACTTTTTCACGATTATTTAAAGAGGAAATGAGAAAATTTTTTGAATCAATAAATTAGATGATGAATCCTGCTTCGAACTGCTGAGATCAATCGACCGGTATCGATTGAGACATCATTAACTGAAAAAAAAAAAAAAAAAAAAAAAAAAAAAAAA